AAAACGTCTCTTTGAATTACCTATTTCTTGCCCCGTTTTATGGATAAGGAAACTGAAGCTCAGAGAGATTAAGTAACTTGCTCAAGAACACCCAGCTGGTAAGTCACACAAGTGTATTTGACGCCATCCAGTCAACCCTCAGGCTCTACGCAGGACTCCACAGCTGCCTGCAGAGCGAAACCACAGGACAGGAAAAGCCTACAATAATGACAATGCAAGACTGTTTCCAAACGCTGTGGGAGCTGGTACTAGACACACTTGGCAGGGTGCATGCATGTTTCTTAGAAAACTTTGTGTCCTTTGTATTCATTATCAGTGAGAAACAAAAACTTTGCAAGGCCAGGATGTTCTGATGTAATGTAGGCCTTACACACACTTGCAGTGGTGTAAGCAAAGCAACAGATATGCCAGAAAGAGACCATAAGCCAGAAAGAACGTGCTGGAAAGCTTCAGAATGGTGCGTTGGGATGCAAAACTGTCACCGGACTGTAAAAGCCCTTTGGAGTGGAGCTTTGGGCTTTAGGCTGCATGAGAAGATTAGTGAATCTCTAAATTCAAGGAAATTTTAAAAAAATGTTCAGAGAAAGGGTGGGGCCAGGTAGGGGAGGCAGTGCAGGAGGTCTGGCAGGAGCCCCGAGCGGCTTGTTCACTGGACCCCAGGAGACAGGAGCCGGCCCTTGTACGTGTTCAGGTCTGACAGAGTAGGGGAGAAGCAGGGAGCCCAGGCAGCCATGATGGCGGTGGTGGTGTTTGCCTGGGCAGCGGGGCTCTGCCAGGGGTGGAGCATGGGGGAGGGGGGTTCCCAAGGGGACCGGCGATGAGACCTAGGGTCTCAGTGAGGATCTGAGGTTGGGATCCTGGGCAGACTGCAGGCTGGCCACGAACTGCCCGATCAAACAGGAAGCAGAGGTGAGGCGGGCTCCTGCATACCTGCCAGGAAGGTATGGCTGTGGCTTCATGGCACGAAGGGGTCAGCACACACCCCACACCCCCAGATCCCAACCCTTCAGCAAGGAGGCCAATCCCGACCCACGAACTGCGGGGCTGGAGCCTTCTCAGGCTCGGCCTGCCTCCCTGCATCAGCTGGGCCCTGAAGGCCTTGGCAAGACCGGGCGGTGCACATCTTGGGGCTGGCTGAGCCCCCTGAGCGCACCACCCTAACTGCCTCAGGTGCAGCACTCTCTCGAGAGTAGAGGGGTGCAGGCAAGGGAAGGACGGGAGAGGAGCCCCGAGGGATCCCCTGGCCATGGGTCAGCACCGCGAGAAGACTGGTGAACTGCGACATATCCCACATTTACTAAACTGCCTGGTTACCCTGAGGGATGCACGTTAAAGTAATCGGTTCTAAGTCCAAAGTCCATGCTCTGTTCCCGAGGAAGGACGCTCCAGCAGCGCACCCTGGCGACCAAACGTGCAGCCCCCAGGCGGAGAAAGGCCGGGTCCCTCCGCCCCGGGGACGCCCCTGGGCCAGGTTCACCGAGGCGGAGGCTGAACCCCAGCCACCCAACCGCCGGCCCACCGGGCTTCCCACAGACCCCTGCGCCACTCCCACCTGCCGCACGGATCCTGCAAGAGACACGCTTCTGTCCGCGTGGGAGGGACAAACCCTTGGGAGCCATCTTGGTCATCAAGATGGTCTGTATTTTCATCTAAAAGGTTTATGAAGTTGGAGTCAGCATTTTTTTTCTGTATGCGTATCTAGCTGGCCGAGCGCAGTTACTGAAAAAGCCACCCTTTCCAGACCCCAGTTTGGGGGTAGGTGGTGACGGCGGTTTCTCTTTGACGCGGGGCAGGACCGGGTAGAAGGCTTTCATTCTGCTTTCTCTCAGCCTTGGGACAGGGTGGCACTTAGGACTGTCTGTGTCACAGGCCTGTGATTAGCAAATAGTCCCTGGGAGGAAAACAGCCAGGAGGCAGTAAGGAAGTCAAGGAATGACCCCAGGGAAGAGGAGGTGTGTCGGCGGGGCCTTCACAGGGAGGCCAGGGTTGCAGCCTGGGCACGGCTGGTGTGAGACAGGAAATGGAGGGGAAGAGTTGGCCCGCGCACAGCGAAGAGGCGGCAGCTGCGTCTGTCCTGGAGAGCAGGAGTCGCTCACTAGGTCTCCAGGCTGCAGCCACAGTCGGGGTGTCCTGTTCGTGGAACTCCACTGAGAGGCGCTGCTGAGGCCCAGGACACAGCCAGCCTTCCCTACAATTGGGGGGACCAGCCCCTTCCCTGCCTGGCCAAGGTGGGCCCCTTGGTCACCTCGTTCCTAGAACACAAAGGAAGAGACCGTGGGGCCCCACAGACAGACAGAGCATCGCCTCTGGAGCCACACCTCCTAGGCTGGCATCCTGGGCCCACCACTTACTAGCTGTGTGGCCCTGGGAAGGTTGTGTAACCTCTCTGTGCGTCCATTTCCCTCTCTGTACATGGCAATAACAATAGCGCCTACTTCATAGGGCTGGTTTGAGGATTAAATGAGGTTAGACAGGCAAAGTTCCTGAAACAGTGCCTGGCAGATGGTAAATGTTCAATAAATGTTGGCCATTGTCATCATTATCCCCGATGGTTAAATTCAACGCCCTGCCAGTGCCGTTTACTGAGCACCCATGGGGAGCGAAACACTGGACTCCACATCATAGGACCAGCTTCCCGGGTCAGCAGACCCAGCCCCTGTCCCCCAAGGGCACTGCTGTCCTCCTCTTCCCCTGTAGCCTTTGAGACACTGACCCTATGCCAGAAGATGAGGGGGAGACACCCCCAATCCAGCCCCAGCTGCCTTCCTGCCTCCTCCTCCTCCTCCAGGCAGGTTCTCCCCACCCTTGCAGAACCTGGTCAAAGTCCGCCTCCTCTTTGGAGTCTTGCCCAAATGCCCAGACCCCAGCCTACAAGAGCCTCGTCAAGAGCTCTTAGCAAGAGGCCCCACCTCCTGGACGCCGACCGGGGGGCGGAGCAGTTAGACCTCCCTCAAAACTCTGAGGGTTATAGGGAAATCCAGTGGGAAGAGACAAAGTGAATTCCTGCAGAAATCACCTTAGCACCACTAAGAGGGATTCAGAGGAAGAGCTGGAGCCACCGGGAAACCCAGTCAGGATCTGCTGAATGCAAACGACATGGCAAAGCCCATGTGGCCCACAGGCCTGAAGGAAGACTGTGTGATGAGAGAATGGGGTGGTGCCACCGAAGGGCCAGCGCAGGACTCCCCTGGCCTGCCCGGGAGAAAGGGCGTTCACGTCGGCTGGCCCATGAGCAGCGCTCCTCCTGAGGGAGTTCCGGCTCAGCCCGAGCCATTGCTCTCACTGGGGGTGTTCACGTGAGCCAGCCTGTCCCATGGGCTGGGCGGTGGGACCCCACAAGTGCTCACTGTATGAGATAGTGAGCATGGATGCCTGGAGAGGGTGTCCCTTCCGTCCCCAGCCAGGAACTATACAGCAGAAGCTGAAGTGGTTCCCACGAGTCCCAGTACCGCCACCCTAAGGACAAGGTGGGAACTGCAAAGGACTACCAGTCAAGGAGCAAGTGGAAGCTTCAGCCTGCACCCGGGAGCTTGACTGAGCTCTGCTGCCACCTGGAGCGAGGGCCACTTTCCCCAAATATTTCCTCGGTTCTGTGAGCTAACAGGGCTGTGTCTGCTCAGAGGGTCCACCTTTGCCTAACTCACGCAAAGGAGGCATGCTGGTGAGCATCGGCCCTGGCTCTGTACGGGACCCAGGTGTCCAGGCAAGGTCCCTGGTGCACAGGGACAGGGTGTGCAGGATGTGGCAAGGGAAGGGGGCGAGAAAACCATGCATCTGAGTGCCTCGCAGGGGGCGGGAGGTCCAGCACCCAAGGCAGGCCGCCCTGGGGACACCTGGGCACGAATGTGCGCATCCCCCAACAGCACCGAGGCAGCCAGGCAGCTCTGGGGACAGGACTGGAAAGGAGCAGGGGCGACCATAGGTCCGTCTGATTTGGACGCCCCTGATTTGGACGCCCCTGATTTGCACGCCCCTGATTTGGATGCTGAGAGCTCCCAGATGCGAGAGCCAGTGCGTCAGAGACAATGCACCTCACGTGCACCCTCAGGCTGCAGGCACTCAGGACCCAGGGCCAGGCCGCCCCCTGCATCCCGCAGGGTCGGCACTGACAGGAACACCCGGGTGATCAGGGACCACAGGCCAGCCTTTCCTGTGCTCGCCCAGCTGTGCTCTGCAGCGGGAGGCCGTATCCACACAAGAGGAGGGGACCTTTTCTAGACACACAAAGGCACCCTGTGAGCCAGCAGGGCTCTGCCCAGGTCACGTGGGGCAGAGAAGGTGGCCCAGGGCCAACACAGGCTGTTCAGCACCCTCGTCCCAACTCACTGCTACCAAGCCGCTGCTGGAGGACTTCTGAAAAAATCCTGTGTTCGGAGTTTTGATGCCCAGAAGTCAGCTGTGAGTAGCTCCCCAGGCCCACGGCGCATCTCCCAGGAGCTGGGTCAGAGGGAGTCGGTTTCGGGGCGCTGGTCATCCGGGGACCCTGTGACAGACCAACGGTCTGGCCTGCAGGGCTGCCTCCCTCCCCCAGCAGCCCCTTGAGCACCATCTCCATGTCTGGCTCAACCTCTGCTCATCCACTTCCCCACCGAGGCCCTCACCACGGGCTGCCAAGGAGCCCCCTCCTCCCTCCTCCCGCCTCTGTCCCGCACAGGCCTCTGTCCCAGCCAACTTCCCCACCTCGGGGACGGGGACAGGAGCACAGGGCGTCAGCGGGCACTGGCCCCCACGGCGGGGGGTGGCAGGAGAGGTGGAGACAGCGAGGAAATAGGGCCACTGGGAGTGGGGTCACCCACGCCAAGAGGCAAGAAATTTTCTGGAGAAAGGAGCAGTTGACAGGCCTCAGACGTCTCAGAGAGAACACAGGGGAGGCCCCTGGGGACAATCTGGTCGACGAGGCAGAAGCCCAAAGCGGGGCGGGGGAGGGCGACAGTCTGATTAAGAGGCGGAGGCCAGGACGGCGCAACCACTTTATTAAAAAGTTACTCAGGTTTGCCCCTCAGCGGGTGGGCAGTGCCAAACACAGGATGGTCCTGCCGTCCCTACAGAAAGAAAATGCAGGCGGCTAGTCGAGACGGGTCACTCAAAGGGCTGACCCAGGCAGCCTGCTGTGGGGACTGTCCCAAGTGCTCCTCTTCCCCTTGACAAGATCTGTCACCTCAGCGGCCGGAGGTCGCCATGCCTCAGTGATGAGGAATTCGGATCTCCCAGGCAGCGCGGCCTCTCAGGATCCCGGAGTTCGCCGGTCCTCCAGAGACGCTCGCCTCCGCTTGCGCTTGGAATTTGGGGTCAAAGAGATGTGGCTTTGACTCCTGGCTCTATGTGCAAGACTGGGGACAGGTTGTACTCTCTCTCCTTTGCACAGCACCCCAAACCTGCGATGGCAGAGCAGGGGGGCTCACCCCAATAATAAATGAAACGCTCAGGTTTCAGATCCAGGTGTTTATCTGCTAAATGGAGCCAGACCCTCCAGCCACACAGTCAGTGCACAGATGTCTGAATACTAGACACTCTGAAGCTGTCCAGCCTGGTTAGGGAGGCAGGGGGTGTGCCGGGGGCAGGCTGGACCGCAGGCTGAGCTGGCCCCGGCCCCGGCCCCGGCCCCGAGAGCTGAGGACAGCCCGTGTCAGCCCTTCACAGACCTGCCTGGGATTCTCCGAGGTCCCGCCCCCTTGGAACAAAAGTTAAAATGTACCCACATTCCCTCATTAAATATAACTCTTCTTGGCTCTCAACAGAAAAGGGCTTTTATGAATTTGCACGATGAATAACTCATTTAATTTACTGTGGGCTACGATTTCTTGTTTCTCTCTCGCTTTTTTAATTTTTCATTTTTTTGTCTTATGATTTCTCTTCAATCATCCTGCGTACTCTGGAGCTCTGGCCAAAAACCCAATTTACAAATTGTTTTCCCATGTGACATTTCTGTGGATTCTCAACTTGACAAATATTACAGAAGGCATGCAGCTTTCAGAAGGCATTTAAACACTTATCCAGCGTGATGTTGTCCTTTTCCTATTTTGCGGCCCCCAGAGTTTTCCTTTCAGGGCTTCATTTCCCAGGCCTTGGCTGCAGCTCTGCCGCCCCCCACAGAAGCTGGGGCACTTGGATCCTCACCAGCCCCCTGGAGGCACAGAGAGGGGAGGTAACTTGCGCAAGGTCACACAGCCACCAAGCAGAGTGGCTCCGGAGCGAACACTGTCAGTCACATTAGGGCCGTAGTTGCTCTCAACCAAAAAGGGCTGTGGGTGCAGGTCACGGTGAGGCCCACCATGGGACAGTGAGCCGCAGGTAAGAGTCATATTTATAAACACTATTGCAATGACATATGGAAAGATGTTAAAATATTTTACCACCACAAAATTATACATATATCTCAACTCAAAAATGCCTTTTTAAAAAAAGAGCTGAAAGAAACATAGCCCTGGCCAGGGTGGCTCAGTTGGTTGGAGCATCATCCCATTGGCGGACAGTCTGCGGGTGGTTCAAGTCCCCGTCAGGACACATAGCCAGGTTGCGGGTTCGATCCCCCACGTACATGAAGGCAACCACTTGAGGGTTCTCTCTCCTTCTCTTCCTCACTCTAAAAGCAATGAAGGAGTGTCCTTCGGTGAGGATTTAAAGAAAAAAGAACTGAAAGAAATATATATGTATGTTTTTACCCTCTCCCAAGGGCATTTTTCATCGCTTTTTAGAGAGGAAGGGTGAGAAACACCAATGCGAGAGAAGCACCAATTGGTCACCTCCTGTATGCGTCCACACCAGGATCACACTCACCGCGTGTGGGCGGCTCAGACCGGGAATCGAACCCACAACCTTTCAGTTAAGGGACGACACCCAACCAAGCCACACTGACCAGGGTTATAAATATATTTTAAAACATGTATCTCAAGCATGCAGATGATCAGCAAATATTTGTTAATATTGCTCGATGAGCAGAGTTTTTGGCTTGTTCCAAGTTTTGTTACTATTTTCCAAATTTCTGCAATGAAAATTACTCTTTTTCAGATAAGAAAAAATATTAAGGCCATACTGTTTTAAAATTACTTCCTCTCATAAACGTCTGAAGGAGAAATTTCAGAGAACCAAAAAAATCCAGAATTTTTTTTTTTTTTTTTTTTAAAGCAAGGAGTTTGCAAAGAAACTCTTTAAATCAGTAGTGTTCCTAGGGCGGGTCTCAGCCCACACTGGGAAGACCGCACAGATGACGAGGACGAGGACGTGGCACGAAGCTTTCCATGCCACGACAAACTCAATGAGTGAATACAGGGGTCCTTGTGGTCCTAAGTGCTGGCATGGGAGGCAGGCAGTTCTTGCCGCCTTCTAGAAAGATCCTCTAATCCTCTTCATTGTACAAATGAAGAGGAGACACAGCACGTTTTTATTGTTATGGGCAGAGACCTCCTTGAAAAGTGAGTTCCCTGCACCTTAGAAAAGTGTGCCCTTCAGACGGAGGAGCCCTGGGTGCTGAGCTCCCCGGCCATGCGCCATGTGCGTGCGCCTCCTGTGTCCCCAACAGAAACCAGCCAGCGCTGTACAGTCTCCAGCTCCTCATCCAGCCCTAACACTCCGTTCTGATACGTAAATGGCTACAAGAAATCGGCAAGAGGAGCCTTCTGCAGACTGAAGGACGCTGGGTCTTGGCCAGAAGCAAGCCTGACCCTCTGGGAGCCCTCAGGAAGCAGGAGCATCCGGAGAGCTTCCACGGGGGGCTGGGGGGGCACACAGAGCGAGTGTCACAGCAGGAGCTAGCGCAGGGACCCAGCAGGCTGGCCGAGCAAGCTGACAGGACAAAGGGGCCGGCTCCCTCAGCAGGCCCTCAATTACTTAGGCTCAGGCTGTTCTAGGGCCAGTCGCTTCTACAGCAGCCAGCCTGGCATTCACCGCACACGCCGCAGCGGCCGCAGGCTTCTCGGTGCCAGCCGGGACCCAGGACGCTCTCCACTTCCCTCCTTGGAGGTGAGCCAGAAACCGTGTACTAACCATGGGACGGAAGCCAAGTTGGTTGGATCCCTGCACCACACCGTCCCCTCACTGAATCGGAGTCTGAGGGCATTTTAAACAAGCTCCCAGAAGCTGGTGACATCCACAGAGTGTGACAACCATGGGCCCAGGTCTGCCTGTAAGTGCAGGCAGGGCGGTCCCTGTCGAGGGCATGTGTCCCCTTCAGAGGGAGCAGGCTGGGTGAGGGCCCCGGGCCAGGAGGCGGGCCGCCGGTGGGCCTCTCCCCTCTCCCGCCGCTTCCACGTGCACAAGCCCGCATCAGCCAAGCCCAGGGGCTCCCCTCAGAATCCGCTGTCCCCCGCACCCAAGAAGCTCCAGGCCTCAGCCTCAGCGCCCCCACCCCGGCTCCCCCTCTCCCAACAGAGACCCCGCCTGCCTCATTACTTAAATAATCTTTATTTCTCATGCACTAGGAAAGGTGGGATTGTATGAAACACTGCATTTCACAGCAAAGGCCTCGGTCCGGAAAACAACACAGTGGACCTGCTGGGATCCAGGTCTGGTTAAAACTCTAGGGACCACGCTGGGGACACCACCCTGAGGGCTGGTGGCAGATTCGGGACCCTCCAGCTGCAGTGCCCCGGACGTGGCGCAGGGGCGGCGGCGCAGGGCGGCTGCCCCCTCCCACAGAGGCACAGGACGCGGGCCCCAGGGCACGCGGACAGGAGGAAGGACAGCGAGGGCTGCCGGGCAGGGACCCGGCAGAGGCGGCAGCCCAGCACCTCCGAGGCCCAAGTCCAGGGCGCCAGCGCTACACCCGCTCTCAGCCCGCCCCCTGCCCTCACAGCCCCGGGCCCTCAGCGGGTGGACACAGGCCCCCCTCCGACAGTCCCTCGGCTGCGTCAACGAGACGGGGGCTCAAACTCAAGCCATGGCTGGAGCTCAGACTTGCCTGGGCACGACTCCACAGGCTGGAGGGGCCAGCCCCTCACAACCACCCTAGCCAGGTTTCAGAAGCTCTTGGGACAGGGCCACCAACAGGGCGGCGCTCAAACTCAGGCCACCGGGTGCCACCTGAGCCAAGAAAGGGTGGGGCACACCCTGGGCCCGGCTCTCCCTGGGGAGGCACAGAGACAGATGGGGGTGAGACATGCAGGACAGACAAAGGAGAACAACACATGCAGAGACCACATGGGGCAGGAGGGTCCAAGGACAAAACGCGAGCGATGGAGGAGCTGGGGGCGGGGGCGCCGCGGGGGCCGGGCTCACTGGGGCCCCGGGCTCACGGCGGCGCCGGGCTCCTCCGGGATCGTCTCCAGCGTCTCGCTCTGGACGGCCTGCGTGATGAGGGCCAGCTCCTGGCACAGGGTCTCGTGGCGGTAGCCCACGCGGATGTCGGGCACATTGGTGCGACGGATGTCATTGCCCTCGGGGCCCTCTTTGGTGTAGTTAGGTCCCAGCCAGTGGCTCTTCACCTGCGGGAGAGGGTAAGGGGCAGGCTGCAGCGGCTCTGAGGGGCCATGTCCCTAAGCCCTGGGGCCTTCCCAGTGCAGAGGCAGGGAGGTCAGGGAGGGGGTACCTTGTGGGAGAAGCCGCTCATGAGCACACTGTTGCGGGCCAGCTCGCACATGTCACAGGAGCTGAGCTTCCACACCTGGGTGGCGATGCTGTATTCTTCCATCAGCGGCTCCTGCACAGGCCAGGTTCCCTCAGCCAGGTGCACCAGGCACTGCAGGGCCGTCCCTCCCTCGGAACGCGCCCTGGCATGCTGCACTCCGCCAGCAGGGGGCAGCACCAGCCCCGGGACCCCTGTGCCTGGGAGTCCTTGTCCGCTGCCCATGGGTTCTGACCTTGGTGAAGTGGAACTGCAGGGGGTCGTCGGTGGAAAGCGAGACCATGAGGCCGCGGGACAGGTACTCAGGCAGCGGGTTGCGGTGGTAGCTGAGGAAGAGGCTATTGTTGCTGAGCGGGGACATGGCGATGCCAATCTGGGCCAGGTAATACAGGTACTGCAGGACTGGGGCCTGGGCGGGCGACAGGGAGGGCAGGCCGGTCAGGCAGCCTCGGGGCTGGGGGTCACAGCTGGTTCTGGGGGTACCGGCCACGGTCGTGTTCAGGGGAGTCCCAGCTGGGCCTGATCTGTGGAGGGTCCGTCACAGCCAGAACCCGAGCTAGGGCCTTGGCGTGGAGCAGTCCGGGCCGGAGCTGCGTGAGGAGGATGCGCTGCTGAAAGGCCCACAGGGTCGGGAGGAAGGGGCCGGCCGGGAGGGAGGCAGGGGTGCGGCCCTGACCTTGCGCAGCAGCAGCCCGTGCGAGATGTTCTCGGCCAGCATGAAGGCCGACACCAGGTGGTGGACGGGCCCGGCCTCCCCGCAGTGCGGCCGCAGTACAAACGTGTGGAAGCCCCTCTGCCTGGGGGGCGGGAAGACAGCATCAGGCCCGGCTCGCTGGGCTCCCAGTCCCCGCCCCGTGACTGTGTGGGCCCGGGTCAAGGGGCAGGGCTAGATCCCTGGCTGTGGATGCCAGTCATGCAGGCCCGAGGACACAGAAACAACATCAGGTCCGTGCCTTGGGCAAGAGGTGGGTGAGTGGGTGAGCGTTTGGGGGGCCCAGCCCCAGGGCAGGCTTCTGGGGGAGACGGCTGGGCGAGCACCTGCGCAGGTGGTTCAGTACGGCCATGTTGGCAAAGGTGTAGTATAGGTAGTAGGCGTAGGGGGGGTTGTCCTCCTCCACCCAAGCCTCTGGAAGGGGGCTCTCCAGGTTGAAGACGTGGTTCTCGGGCTTGGACTCATCATCCACACTGTCAAAGCCATCCACCTGGCACGGGACACTGGGGTCAGACCAGACGCTGCCAGCGGGCCTAAGGCAGGCCGTCCCCCCTACACCTGCCATGTGCCGCCCCCTCACATGCTCCAGGAAGAGGTGCAGCTCCGGGTGACTGGCAGGGTGCACAGTGGCCTCGAACAGCGGCAGGAAGATATTCTCCAGCATCTCCTGAAAGTTGGCCAGCTGGCCCTTGGTACGGTACACGTCACTGCAGGTGAGATGTGGGTGCACAAATGCATGCAGGTCAGGGCCTGTGTGAGGACACCAGCAGGCCAGGAAGGGTCGGAGCTTGGCCCAAGGCCACAGGAGCACTTGTGAACCATACTGGGTAGGCCCGGCTGGACAGACCATGAGTGGAACCGGGAAGGGCCCCTCCTCCTACTGAGAGGACTCGGCTGGGACAGGAGATGGTCAGCCATCGCAGGAGGGCAGAAGGCAAGCCCTGGCCCCGTGAACTCTGCCCGCCAAGTTCCCTCCCACTTCCAAGGACACTCACAAGAGACGAGGCACCTGCACGAGCCAGCGCACGTTGGGGGAGTGTACGCGGTGCGTGACAGCCCAGCGTGCCAGCTTGTCCCACTCGTCCCTCGAGCGCCCGTAGATGGAGAGCCGCAGCTCTGCGTTCTGGTACTTGCTCTCCTCCAGGTCCGACATCACCTCCTAGAGACACAACAGGGCAACTATCACACTCAGCTTCCCAGCCGCCCCATCTCGGCACCCACCACCATGTGTGCTCAGTCGGGTCTCCTGATGTCTCTGACCCTCCCTATTCGCCCGCCGTCGAGGCCCCCAGATATCCAGGCTCTCGCTCAGCAGGGCGAGGGCTGTCCCCATACCTGGGCCCCAGCAGCCACACCTCCTCACCTTGATGATGTGAGCAAAGTACTTCCCAGAAACCCTGTTGTCCGTCTTGATGAAGATCTCTCTGAGGACAGACTCCCCGATAGGGTTGTATTTGGCGTTGAACTTGTCAAAGCGATGGAAGGTGTTCCTGTCCTGGGGGAGACGGGCAGGTCACCCCTGACCCCAAGCCTGCACGCCGACCCAGCCCCTCAGCCCCCCTAGGACGGACCGCGTGCACGTCGAGTGTGTCCACACTCAGGTCGTAGGCGGTGAGGTTCATGCTCTGGAAGACCTCACGCAGCGTCTGCTCGCGGCCCTGCTCCACGTGCACGATCTCCTCCAGGTGCCGCTTCATCGCCCGCTTGATGAAGCGCAGGAGGTGCTTCTGGTTCATGCAGGATGAGGCGTGGATGTGCGTGTCCACCTGGGGTGGGGCAGAGGCTGCTGGGTCCAGCAAGGCTGGGAGGGTGGAGGGCGTGGGCGGCAAGATGGAGAGGCCGCTCCAATCCGGTGCTGGGTCGGGGGAGGCTGGGCTGAGGGACAGGCCCAGCCAGGGGGACAACCCACCTTTCGGATGTTGTAGAAATCCCGGTGCGGCACCTTCTTCTGGGCGGCCAGCTCCTTCATCTCGTTGAGCAGCACGTGCATCTGGAACTTTGAGCTCAGGTACTGCAGCCGGCGGTAGCAGAATGACTTTCTGGCAGGATGAGAACCAAGTGGGGGCTCAGGGCCTGCGGGGAGGCACCTGGCGGGGTGCAGGGCTGTGGCTGCTAAGGGGGCAGCAGAGGGAGGGAAGTCTAGGGCTCGGTGACTTTGAAGTGGGGAGAGACTGGTGACAGGTGTCTGGGGCAGGGCTGGGAAGGGACCAGTGAAGACTCACATGGGGCCATTGATAATCAGGGCCATCAGCACATTGACGTCAGCCACAAACTCCTGCAGGTCAGGGTATGGCAGCTCCAGCTCGGGGCAACTGGCACGTGGGGGGAGCGTGGGTGAGGAGAGCAAGCCGGGCCCTGCAGCCCCCCTGCCCGTTTCCCCCAGCACATTCCGCCCCCGCTTACTGCTCGTCGGGCTCCCTGCGGGTGTAGACATGCACCACGCCGCGCACCATGCGCAGACCCAAGCCCAGGTCCCCAGGCATGGCGCTAGGCTCACAGTGCTCGTAGGGGTGCTGCTCCAGCACCGGGGGGTGCACCGGGGCATCTGCAGGGAGGGGAGAGTGGAGTCAGGGCCAGGGCTCTTCGGGGCCGCCGCCCACTGTCCAGCGCAGAGGCCCCGCAGGATGGGCCCTGCCGCCGCTTCCACCCCCGCGCCAGGCGGCCAGAAGGAGGCGGGTGCAGGGAGAAGCAGGCAGGGCAGCGGTTCCAGGGCTGCGAGCTCAGGGAGGCTGGGGCACCAGGGCACTTGGAGCTGAGCAGGGATGGGGGCCCCACCGGCGGACACAGGGGTGTCGGGGCCCAGCTCGTAGGCCCGCGTCTCCAGGGGCTTCTCGGCCAGCTGCTGCAGGTAGCGGCGGGTGGTGGGGCAGAAGCTCTGCAGGGACAGCGCCATGTACTTCTCCCGGATGAAGAGGGCCCGCACCACACTCTTGGCAGCGTCCAGCAGGTCTGTGAATGGCACCTGCAGACAAGGACACGTGATCACTGTCCTTGGTCTCGGGCTCAGGCCAGGCTCACTCTCACTTGTTCCCTGAGGCCGTGACTTCAGAAACCTCACGGACAGGCTCCCAGCCGGACCCTCTGCCCCTGCAGCTTCCGGAAAGAGAAACACCCTCTCCAGCCTCACCCCCAGGTCCCCAGGCTTGGAGCCCACTCACCCCACACTTCTCCTCCCCGGAGATGGTGACCCGCTGGAATTCCCGCTCCAGCACGTCGCGCTCCCGCAGGCCCCGGTCTCCCTGCCCCTCACCCTGCTCCTTGTAGAGCCTGCCAGGGGGCGGGGAGGCACAGGGAAGAGGTTGGAGCCAGCAGTGGGACAGGCCCCAGCCGCATGTACCCAGGGCCCCCACGCCCCTCCGCCCTCCTCACTGGAGGTCCGAGTCACTGTCCGTCTTCAGGAAATCTTGCTTGGCCCGAAGCAGGATGTCCGGCTCCAGCCTAGAGGTGAGGGGTGAGAGGTCAGGCAGGTGAAGAGGGACGGCCCTTGCTCCCAGGTCGCCGCCCTGAGCTGGTGCTGCGTGTGTGCTGTCACCTCACAGGGCTGCAGAACCCGCGCTGCGGATGCTGTGGGTGCCCAGCGTTAGCGATGGAAAAGCACACCAGACGTTAAGCACCATGTGCCAGGCCACCCGGGCGGCAGGAGACAGCCCCGGAACCCAGCGGCCTGGCCCCAAGGCCGGTGTGTCGCCCCACTGCCCTGTGCTGCCTCCCCGTGGGCCCCAAACAGGGACGAGGTGGGAGAGTGACAGAGACAGAGCTCTGAAAGCATCCGGTGGTGACAGAGGGATGCTGGGCAGGCAGACCACGCTGTACCCCCTCCCCACAACCCCGCGGCTGCCTGCTGTGCGCCCCCCCGCGCCCCTCCCACACAGCTGCCTGCTATGACTCTCCCACCTGAGGCTGCCTGCCTGCCTGCCTGCCTGCCTGCCTGCGGGGCTCTGGGGCCCAGGGCTCACTTGACATCCTGGCTGATCTGCCGCTCCAGGCGCTGCCTCCGCTCCTCCAGCTGCTCAATGGGGCTCTCCTCGGGGAACTCATACGGGGCGCTGCGGAGCTCGCTCTCGGCCAGGGAGCGGCTGAACAGCTCCTGGCAATGGAAGGAGGGGTCGGTGTGGCCTGGTCCCCAGCCCCGGGCCCTCCCTGGCAGAGTCTGGGGCGCCCAGGGGAGGCTAGGGGCCAGGACATGGCCCAGCATGCAGTCAGGGGACGGGGAGAAGAGACGAGGCGTGGGGACAACATGGGGGACAGAGGGTGAGGTGCCAGGCACTACCTCAGCAATCTCCTTGCATTTGCCATCCATAGACGTGCGCAGGTCCAGCGGGAAGTGCTTGAGGCCGGGGGCGGGGCCTGGCAGGGATCGGGCGGACTGCAGTGGAGGGACCCCCAGCCCACCCCGAGCGTCTGTGGAGAAAGTGACACCAGGGTCAGAGGGTGGAGAGCAGGACCAGGGGGCACTGGAAACCCTAGGCCCCTGCCTGCCCCAGGCCGGCCCCGGAGAGAAGCCGGCACCTGGAGGGTGGGCAGCCCCTTCTCAGAGGTTGAGGGGTAACTGAGACTGCATGTGGCTCCCTAAGGACCTCACCCTCACAGTCCAGCACGGGGACCCCTCACCCGCGCCAGGCTCGAGGGTGGGAGGCCCAAGTGTGCCCCTAGAACAAGCAATTCGTTCACTCCAGGAATCAGAATCTGAATCCAGGACTGGGGCCCCACCCTCAGGCCATGGGAACCTCCACGTGAGCGCCTCCTACAGACAGGCACAGTGTGTCCCCACACACGCTCTAGGAGCACACTAGGGACCTGGAGGCCACAGCTTCCAGGGCCAGCAGTCCAGGGTCAGACCGGCCTCTGGACTAGTAGGTCCTCCTCTCTGGGGCCTGGGCCCGCATCGGATGTCCTGGACCTGCAGAGCACAGGCGGCCACAGCTGCCGCTCAGCTCGGACCTGGGGACCGGCCCCCGAGGGAAGAGGCGGCGAGGGCATGGAGGGGCCGGTTGGCAGCAGGAACCCCACCACCTCCCTGGAGGCCCGCCCTCTCCCCCAGGACCCCGGGGCTGCCAAGACGTGGCCCGGCCACCTCCTGACCCTCCCACCGCTGGCTGCCCCTCCAAAGGGAGCTGCCACAAACAGCCTGTGCCACGCAGAGGCCCCAGGGTCTGGGCTGGAGGCCCCAGCAAGGGCCCGGGGAAGGGAGGGTCAGAGGCCAGGGTCTCTCCCCACGGAGGGCGGAACTCAGGTGCACCACCCGACGAGGCGCACCACCCGACGAGGCTCGTCTAAGGGGCTGCCCAAGCTCCGGGCGCATCCCAAAGGACCCTCCCTGGGCTCACAGCCCAGCCGCCGCAGCGGGGGCTCTCCACGCCCCGCGGGCTCCCCCAGCCAGCTCCCAGCTCCCAGCTCCCGGCTCCTAGGGGTCCCTCTCTCCAGCACTCGCCTCACCCCCTGCGCCAGGGCTGAGGGGCAGCCCGCGGACTCTGTCCACAGAGAGCGCCTTCAAGTCTCCAGGCCCCCTCCCCGATGCCCCAGAGCCGGTCCCAAGCCTGGGCAAAGGGAAGAGGAGGAGCCTGCCCCAGATGCAGGACCCAGCACCCACGGGTCTTCGTGCCTGCCTGGGTCCTACCTGCAGAGTTCAGGCAGCGCAGGCCAGCGGCCCAGCGCTCCTCGCCTGCCTGTTTGCTGAGTGGAGCTGCTGCCAGTCCCCCAGGACAGCTCAGGGGCCGGCACGGGCTGTACCAAGTGCAGCGGCTTGCAGGGGAGACCCTGGGTGACAGTGAGCAGGGGGCTGGGGGAGCTCGGGAGCCCAGAAATCAAGGGAAGGAGCATCAGAGGTCAGGGATAAGAGGAGCCCCAGAACTGAACAGGGACTTAACCTCTACAGCGCCAGGGCCTGGCCCAAAGTGGGGACCCCGAGGGGGAGAAGCAAGGTGGGCTGGTAGGGGCAGGAGAGGCTGGCAGGGAGGGGCCGAGTCTCCTTAAAGCGCACTGCCCCCGGGGTAGAGTGAGTGGGTAGGACCTGGCTGCCCAAAGGCAAGGGCAGAGGCAACAAAAGGGGGCAAGCAGCCCTCCTCTCCATACCCAGAGGCCCGGGCCAGCCTCCTATGCCCGGTGGCCTTGTTTTCCTTACCACTGTCCTCTGGGGCCCTGCCTATGGGGTCCCTTGGGAGAGATAGGCCCTCTGTCTGGCAGCCAGAGAAGCAGCTCAGTCCAGGTGGGAACAGTTGCCGAGCCTCCCTGATGCCCAGGGGGCTGGTTCATGGCCCCCCAGACCCCCGATCCCCTGTTCGCAGCCTATCGCCAGGGAAAGGTTGCTCAGGAGGGGAGAGCGGTTTGGAAGAAGGGGGACTGGGATTTGGCGGACTTGAGCCTGACTCTGATCCCACTTACTCACAGCCTCTACCTCCCAGAGGCTTTGGGTCCTAATTGCCATGAGGTCAGAAGCGGGCGGGGTCCTGCCCAGCCACCGCTGCCATAAGGCTCACAGAGATACGGCTCTGTGTGTATTCTGTAAAACACCGCAATCTGCGATTATGAACTGAGACCCTCCAAACTCGTCCCACATACAGTCCCAGCCCCTGGGGAGGGCGGGGGTTCTTGAGCCCGGCACAGGCCAAGGTAACAGAGCCGTGAGCGGCAGCAAAGAGAAGAGAATCCGGCAGGAGTGGGGACGGGGTGACACTACCTCTAACTTGGAAGAAGGCAGAGCAGGGAGATGAGAAAGAACAGGCACCTGCTCTGCCCACTGGGTGTAAGACAGAGCCTGAGGTCCTTGCTTGCCCAAGAACTCTGACCCTACACAGCTGTCCACTTCTAACGCCCTGCAGGGGAGGCCGCCCACAGACCTGCAGGGGCGTCTGACGGAGTCAGCAGGAGCTGAGTCAAAGGCCCCAGCCTCAACCTCCTCTCCCAGGAGAGTGGCCCAGGGCCTCCGCAGAAATGCGGGGCGACCAGCGCAGGTTCCGGCATCCAGAGCCACCCCCCAGCCTGCCAGGCCACCAGAGGTGACAGGCACAGCAATCTCCACACTCCCTGAGGCCAGGCCTGGAAGACGGGGCTGCCTGCGGGTCCGCCCTCCCAGAGTCTGCGCCACAGCATCCCCCACCCTCACACGCACAGGGGATGGGGGTCGACTGAAAGCCAGCCAGCCGGCCACTGCCACCAACTCCGAGATTCCTGGCACCCTGCCTACCCTCACTCACCGCAAGGACTGCCTCAGCAGGCAGAGAGGCGCACAAGGCTTTGATCCACAAGTAGCAAGTGACAGGTCTAGCCCCAGGAGAGGCACCCTCTGGATGGCACAGAGCTGAGCACAGAGAACACGAACCCTCGGGACAGTACAGGCCAGGCCAGCATCTTCAGTGTCGTAAGACAACACAGGAGGCGGGTGACCGCGGCTATCGGCACAGACAGCTGCTGGGGCAGGGGGGCACTGACTGGACCTGGTCACCAAGATGGGGGTGGTCTTTACTTAGCCACAAGGCCTGCGGACAGCAAATGGCAAGTAGATATCCCTCAGCGAGCACAAACCCAGGCTGCGAGCCCTGAGGGAGTTGGGTGCAGCGCCCCACGCTGCCTGCTCCAAATGGTGCAGAGATGCCTACCAGAATGGGAGCCACACCTAGGGTGCAGGAGCACAATGGATGGGCCGCGGGCCCAGCCCGAGCCCCGCACGGCCAGGCCCAAGGGCACCCCACACTCCTGAGGCGGCGCGCCAGGCGGACCGAGAATGAGCACACAGCGAACGATCCCCACGGCTGAGCCCCCACCCTGGGCCTCCGGCGGCAGCGAGCGCGCCCTAGCATCCGACCCCCGGGAGGGGGCCTGAGATCTGAGGTCCTGGAAAGAGGAGCTCGCCTCAGGAGGACAGCCTGAGCCTGCCTGGCAAAGGCCCAGCCGCCAGCAGTGTGGCCAGTCGGTCCCACACACCCCCACTCCATTCACACACCCCACTTGCTAGCAGTCTCAGCACACCCACACGCCGACACGTGTGCAAACACACCTCCTGCTGCACCCACGCCCACGCCCCATTACGGAGGACAGAGTCCCTGGCACAGGAAGCTGTAGCCCTCCACCCCACCTCTCTCCTCACACCATCTCCCAAGCCAGCTGTCACTGGGGCCGAGGACAAGGAGCACCACGGCACAGAGGGTGCAGAAGAGGCCTCCCTCTGAGGGGACCAGTGGCGGAGCTGAGCCAGTGTCTGGCCCAGGATGCATACACTCACCTGCTACCGCAGAGGACGCCTGCTGACTGGTACGCTTCTTAAAGGGATATTTGGCCTTGGGTTTGCCTGGGCCGGAGGGATAGGATGCCATGGCTCTGGCCCAGGAGTCAGAGCCGCACCAGCTGGGCCTGCCTCTGCCACATCCAACCCCTTCCTCCGCCCCGCCCCCAGCGGGAGTGACTGATTCAGGAAGCAGAGGCCCCGCCAGCGGAAGAGGCCCTGGCCACGATTTCTGAAGTTGTCTAGGCAACCTCCTGGAGGGGAGCCGCCATCCCGCCCCAGATCCCTCTCACCCCTCCCTTCCTCATCCCTGGAGTGACGTGGGCCTGCGGTGAAGAGGTGAGAAGCAGATAGGAAAGGGCCTGCGCCCAGCACGGCACTAATCCTCCCTGGAGCTCTCGGCCCCTGCCAGGGCTCTGGGGCCAAGACTCAAAGTCCAGGCTAGCTGGTCCAGCCAGCCTGGGAGAAAAAAACAGAATAAACAACAGGAATCCAGCCCGAGCCCAGAACACATTTGGCTCAGGGCAGCCGCAATGCGTGAACACCCAGCCCCTCTCGGGCTGAGTCGCGTTTTTCTTCTCTTTTTGAATGATCCCCAACCCCGGGGCAGGCCAGCTCTGGGAGGATGGGGTAGAACCGAGAACCGCAGCCCGGGAGGGAGGAGCCTGTATTGGGAAAATTCCACTGTCCAGCCGAAGCTACCTTCTAGGAAGGCAGGGAAGCCGGGACGCAGAGGCTTCCACGGGGTCTGGCAAAAAGAGACGCCAGTGCCTTCGGGCTCTTCCCTCCGCCTTTCCACACGCAGGCTCAGCTCTCCCAAGCCTCCCCAGGAGGAGCTGGTCGCCTTCCCTAGGGCTGCTGGCTGTGCTCAGACCCCCACCGTCTTGTCGCCCTGGCCACTGCACCTCTCCGTCCCAGAGACCCTCCCCCGAACACAGGCACACCCTCTCACCTGAGGCCATGCTGCCCGAGCCCTGAAGGGGATCGGCACAGCTGGGAAGCCCGGGTCGCGAGGGAGGGGATGAGGGCTGGAACCTAGACCCCGGCCGAGTCGTTCCAACTGCCCCTGCCCTGGCACACAGATGGGGGAAGTAAGGCAGGTCTTTCAAAATTGCCGGCTGGCAGGATGCGGACCCCCGCTGACCTTGGCCGCCGCACCGGCCCGGAAGACCCCCAGCCCCGCACTCGAGAGGCGGGCGGGCCACGTGCTCCCTGTAAAGTGGGACCCAGAACGCTCCTGGGCTTCGCTCCACACTCCCTGGGCGCTCGGGGTCGGCTCGCCGCGGCTGGATCGCGGGGATGACACGCAACAGGTGCGACCCCCGCCGAAAGCTGGCCAGCACCGCCCCGCGTCCCGGCCGCCCCAGGCCCCGCCCCTACCCGCCGGCCCCGCCCCCGCCATCTTTCCGCTTCCCGGCGCCACGTGGGCTGCGGCCCCTCGGCGATCTGCAACGCGGGGTCCGGTGCACGTTCTGTGCGTCAGCTTCCTCATCAGAAAGTGGGATGGGGCAATCGCGCTGCGTCACTCAAAGGAGCTGTTGCACAAAGCGCCCAGTGAGAGATAGCTATTATTACCGTCCCAGGGTTCACTTTTAGCCGAAGCCCTACCCCCGGCATTCTCACTCTGGGTGTCTGTTTCCCCCTGGCAGGCGTAGGTAGGCAGGGTGTGCCGTGCATTCCCACGTTTATTTCTATATTTGTTGGTTAAGTGCTTAGGCTCTGTGGCCGGAATGACTGGGTTCAATTCCAGACTCCCCCGCCTACTTCCTGACGGACTTTGGGAGAATTACTTAACTTGGCTGAACTTCTGTTTGCCTGCAAAACGAGTGTAAGAGACCCTGCTTTATATGGTGGTGCTTAGGATAAATGAGCTAAGATAAGTGCTTAGAACAGTGTCTGGCCTGTAGTTACTGCCCCATTAATATCTGCGTTTTATTGCTTTGGCCTTGGCGTTGTTCCGTACTAATACTCCTACAGGTTGTTTCACCTTGCAGCCTACAAAGGCTGGGGCTGGGCTGTTTTGGGGATCGCGGACACCCCACCCAGCCAGCACCCTCTCTCCTACGCGCCCGAGAATCCTACCTAAAGATAACTTGCTGGGGAAAGTCCCTGGGACTCCATTGAACATAATTGCATTCGCAGCAATTAGTCTTTTTCTGATTTCTCCACCTTGTGGGAGCCCTTTGCCCCCCACGCCCAGTTGCACTAATGCTGTTTGTCCACTGCCTCCCAGGTCTCACCGCCCCCACAGCCAAATTCCTTACCAAACTCTGCCTCCCCCGTCTCTCCTTAGGCCGGATTCTGGACCCTGAACCCTATTCTCTACCTGCACCTGTTGCCCCTCCGTTGATCCCTGCCGACTGCTCCTCCCACTGGACAAACTAAAAAAAAAAAAAAAAAAAAAAAAAAAAGGCCTCCATGAACATTCAGGAAAAAGTTCACCTCTCAAAGAATCAATGAAACTAAAAAGAGGACAAGGAGGAGATACCACGTTCACCCATTCAATTACCAAAGATTAAGGGGAAAACGTCCTAACGCAGACAAGAGGTTAGTTAGTAGCTGGGACCCAAACGTACGCTACTGCAGGGCATAAACAGTGACATCATCATTCTGAAAACCACTTAGTAACATGAGAACAAGAATCTTTTACAAATTCCTCTTATTTGACCCAGTAATCCCACTTGCAGGAAGTTGTTCTTCTAAAGAGCTGCCAGGAAAAGGTGGACGGAGTTGTTCATTACCGCAGCGTTCGTCACATAGAGGGGCCTGGCAACTTAAAGGGCTGACAAGAAAGGGATGTTTAAATATGTCACACATGGACAATGAAATGCAGCCATTAAAAGTTATTCTTGGAGAATTTCTCTTTTTTTTTAAACTTTTCCAATGTTAGATATATCGATTTCTGTTGTTCTACTTGTTCATGCATTAGTTGGTTGATTCTTGTATGTGCCTGGACTGGGGATCGAACCCACGACCTTGGTGCATCAGGATGATGTGCTAACCAGCTGAGCTACCCAGCCAGGGCTAGAGAATTTCTTACTAAGGTGGAAATGTTTACAATGAAAAGTGAGGTGAAAAATGAATGTTAAAATCTGTACATACACTATGGCCCAATTGTGTGACATATATACATAGGAAATAAATACACCAAAACGTTTACAAATAGTTACCTGTGAATTATGGTTTATATTTATTTTCTTCTTTATACTTATCTGTGTTTTTAAATAGTCTACAATGCATATTCATTCCTTTTATAATCTAGGGAATGGAAAAACAAAGTCTGTAAAAACCTTTAATAGCCTCCATACCCCACCCCCAACAGACTCTCCTGGGCCTTATCCCCAGACTAAATTGGTCTTGGAGCCCTTAGTTATTTAAGGCTGTTGGGCTGTTGAGATAATAAAATAAATCTCAAAATTAAAAATCAAGCACCAGGTAACCACGTAGAATGTCAGCTATGTTCTGATAACATGTAAATTTTGACATAGTTCTAAGGGGTGGTGTCTTGCGTTGGGCCAGCTCTCTGTCCCTTCGTCCAGACCGACCTACCTATTTTACCTAAGCAGCCCGCGGTCTGCAATCCCTACCCTCCGCCCTACCCAGGCAAGCCGGTTCACTAGCCTCTCCACGCTTCTCCTAGTCCCAAGCACAGCAACACACCCTTCACCACATAACCCTCCCCGTTTCCAGGCGATATGGCACACTGTCCCCGCTGGGAAGCCTGCCCTGATTACAGCTAAGCATCAGTCTCCCACCTACACAACACCTGCAGGAATCTCGGTGGGGCTACAATGGTGTCCACGTAAAACAGACTGGGAAATGAGGGAGTGAGTCATCCCCTGTGGCCTCGGAGGCTTTTTTCAGTTGGGCCTCAACGTTGTCTGGGAGCCTCTGGGCTCTTCCCCCAGCTCTAAGCGCAGCCTCGTCCCTTCCAGCCCGACGGCCAGCAGTTCCTTCAATGGCCCTCCCGGAACCTGGGCCCCCGCTGACTGGGCACTCCCGCCTCTCTGAGCTCTGGCCTGAGCCCCCTTGCGATGCCGGCCTCCTACCTCAGCCAGACCTCTCTCTGCGGACGTTAGGCTCGGAAGAGAACACCTGCAGCATCAAAAGGATCCTTGGGTGGTCGGGGGGGTGAGGGGTGGAGGGAGGTGGATGGAGGGGGAAGAGGGTGTAGCAGGGATAAATGATGGGGAAAAAATTGTTTTTAATCCGTGGCCAGGACAACCTCTCCAACCATATTCTATGCCTAGAGCCAAGGTACTCAGCTCGTTTCTCAGCGTGTCCCAGCAGCCGTCCCCCTCTTGCTGCCACCCAGCATTGCTCATAGCATCGTGCAGCCGTGTCCACCTGTACTTGTTTACAAGTCTTCCACGAGTTTTAGCCAGACGCTTGGTCATTCAAGGCCCCTCACCGGCTAGCCCTGTTTTCCTTTCCTGTCCAAATCTCCCCGCCCTCCCTTCCACACGCCTTCTCTCGTTTGCTCCCGACTGGCCACGGCAGGCCTCCTGGGCTTCTCGGAGCGCGCCTCGTACCTCTTGCCCCCATGCCTTCCTTTTTTCCCGCTCTTTCCTCTGTCGAAAATGCCTGTCCCCCAGTTCTACTGCGTTCTGTTCATTTTACAATCGTTCCCTCCTTGCTTTGCTATGGAACCGATCCATCAGACGGCAAGCTGAGTGAATCGCTGCCTCCCCTGCCGGGCTGGAGGCAAGTTTTAAACAGCCGAATTCTCCTGCACTAGCACAGTGTTCCTGAGCTTAGGTTGTTGCTCTGTGAATTTCCCCCACTTCTTTCTTTGGACCTGAAGGCCGGTCCCCATTCTTCATTTCCACCCCCTTCCCACTCCACCTGGGACAAGGCTTTACGCAAGTCCCAACCCCTGGGTGTACGACAGATCCTGAGATCTCCCCTTAGGTCAGGAAACAGGATCAAATTCTTTGGGAAATGCTGATTCGTTTTTTACTTAAAATGATTTGGTTATAAGGGCTGTGAACTGGAACACCTGAGCTCAGGCTGATGCTGATGCTAAGTTGTTTATTAATATGGAGACAGTATAGGGATTTGGGGCCAGAAATGGAAAAATACCGGTGGCCAGGAAGCCAAGTCAAGACCAGGTGGCCAGAACATGTCAAAACCGCTGTTCCACATGTGCCGTTGATCCGGGTTTGGCCGCTGCAGGACCTTCCTGGGGTGGTGGTAACCAGCAACACCACCATCTTGCCCGCACAGCACAGGCGCCAAGCCACCCAACAGAAGGAGAGAGCAACCTCACTCTGACTTGTTGAATCCCATTCCCAGAAACCTTCGCAAGCCCGCCTTTCCACACAAGCCCACGCAAGGCTGTGTTGCCTCAGCCTGTGAAGGCGGCCAAGCAGACCAGCCCCCCAAGCCAGCTCAGAGAGCCTTTCTCTCCTCTATGCTGTGTCCCTTGGGCTCGGCATCAGCTTCATAAAATCTGTCTGGACCTTTCCCTGGGGTGTCCTTTCAGTTTTTGTCTTGGGGAACTCAGGAACCTGAACACCAGTAACCTTTCGTGGCAACTCAGGTGGGACCCCCTGTGTCCCTATAGCAACAGGACAGAGCCAGAAGAAGACAAGTCACAGCATCAGCACCTTTGGTGAGTCTGTCTCCGACCCTCTCCTCCCACCCAAAGAGATTTTGTTGCCTGGCCAAGTTGTCTTTTTCTCTCCTGTGATTCTTTGTCTTGCCCTTGTGTCCCTGAAAGCGGGTTCAGCGCCCCCTGCAGTTACACCAGCGGACAGACACGGGGTGCTCCCCTCTGACCCGCCCCGGGTAGCTCAGGTTAAAGTCCTGAGTCTGGGGGGCGGAAGTCTTGTGGCAGAAGTTCCCTAAACTTGAGTTCGAGTTTCACCACAGATGTTTTGTGTTCTGTTGCCGTTTTGCGTGTCTGGTTCCGCTCGATGAGACTGACTGCCGCCCTGGCTATTGGTTGGGCTACTCTCTTCAAAACCAAAAAAATTAAAAATCGGTTTTCTTTTGCAGTGTGGCCTGGCCCCAATATTGTCCTGGGGATCAGAGAGTGATGACGATGAAGGGACTTAGCCCTGCGTGGGCTCTCTGCCGGCAGTTCCGTGACCCTCACACTGACTGTCCCAGAGACGGACTTGGCGGCGCTCTCAGCCGACCAGGCGTCACTGACCGGGTGTCGCTGACCAGGCGTCGCTGACCAACAGTGCTTTCATTTTACAGTGAGAAAATTGGGTAAGTGATACTGGAACTGTATCTGTTGTTTGTTGAGTCTGTGTCCCGACCGGGTTGTAGAATTTTGTTTTTAATTTGAAACTGGTTTTGAATTTGGTCTAGAGCTGCCA